GTATCACCTTCAGTTGCTAATCAAGCCAAATTACAGTATTCACAATTTTTAACTACTGTTGTGAAAGTGAACAAGGAAAAATTTCTTGTGTTCAAAAAAGAAAGTGATAGATTGGATTCTTTTTTGGTTCAATATACAGATGCTTCAAGATTCAAGGATTTAATGAAAATTTACCAATTGTTACTAATATTGTTCCATGGCCAAGCACAAGTAGAGCATGGATTTAGTATAAACGACCAACTTCTGGATATGCTAACTGATACTCTTGTTGCACAGAGAATTGTACATGACAACATGTGCAGTGAAAATATAAAATCATCCCAATTGGCTATGACAACTAAATTTATCGGACAACTAAATTTATGGGACATAAGGATACACGAAAACTATACTTTAGCAGTCAGAAAGAGAAGTCCGTGAATGCTTTAAAAACTGACCATGATACTAAACTGAAAAATTTTAATAAAAAGATTACTAGTTATAATGAACAAGTTCACACTTCTGAATGTACCATACTTCAGCTCAGATATGATGCAGATGAGTATGCATTGCAAGCGGAAAAGCAGAAATCATTGATAGAAATAAAGTCAACAGTTCTAAAATCTAATGCGCTAAAGAGAGTTGCCTCTGAAAAGTAGGACTTACTAGAAAATATTACAGCAGCTAAAAAAGTACTTGACAAGAAAGCTGAGATTTAGATTTCAATGTTTAAGTTTTTCAATCATTTTGTTTTTCTGATTTGATTATTTCTTTTTATGACTGGATAATATAAAACATAAAGTTTAGTTTGGATGTGTATTCTAATGATTTTTGTTTATTTATTGTTTGTTACTTAGTCATAAAGTCATCTTTTTAGTGCAATGTTAAATTTGTTAAATTTTTAATGCAAGTATGATTTGATAAGTTAATATTTTTGTATGTGTAGAGATGTCAGACTATTTTAAATAACAGCGTTTGGCCAAATTTTATCTTAATTATTTTAGCTAGGCATTCTTACAGTTTTTAAATAAAATGAAAATTTTTTAGTGCCACTTTATTTTTGAAATCCTCCTAAAATCTCCTAAGATTTTTATCCTTTTTTTTTTCAATTTTCCCGATAAAAAAAACATTTTCTTAAAAACATTTAAAATTCTCCTATATTATCCTAAATTATCCTAATATTTTCAAAAAAAAAAAGTGTGGCCACTCTGCATGACTTAACAAATGTCACCATTTTTTATACGAATCAGTTCAGGTTCTTTTTTGAGGAGGACATCTGAAAGTAATTTTTTCTAAGATATAAATTATGTTGTAATATGTAATCTTAAATTGCTTAACAATTGACAACTAAAATTTTAATATGAATTTATTAAACTATACACTAAGAATGAATGAACAAAGTTCTTCTGAAAATATTACACAAAAAATAAAAATTGAAATAGATGACATTTTGCATTACTTTTAAAAAAAGCATTATTTGAGGACATTTAGAACTTACCTTTGTTTAATGAAGGGATGCCTTATAATAACAATAACAATAAAGATTTTTAGTTCTACTCATTCATTTCTACTTCATTTATGAAAGTCACTTATTTCTTATTATGTGCCATTTGGGATCTAGTTTAGATCCCAGATAGCACTATGCTTAAAATGCTATTTTGATCGGTTGGAAATTTTACAATTTTTAAATTTTAAACTTTATCATTTTGTAGCTAAAAATTCCAGCTTTCCTATGATTACCTATATTTTTTCTATATTTTATTATTATTCTAATCAAAAGTTATACAAGTTTAATTTTTATTTCATTTTTTGTTTTTTCTATAAAATTTTATTGCAAAAAAAAAGAACTTCATTTTTTGTTTAGTCGTTTTAACACTAAATTGGGGATAAAGAATGAAAGAGGGGGTATAGTTTTTTACCAAAAATGTAAACAAGTTCCAAATCAATAATTTAGAAGTAAATTTGACAGAGTTAGACAGAGAGCAGAAATTGAAATTTTACAAACTAAATTTTAAAAAAACTAGTGTGTTTTGAAACCACTCTGGAATTCGATGAATTTACATTCATTTTCTCTTGAAAACCATGAATTTTTGAATAATGTATCTTGCTAAAAATTATCTCAAATATTTTTCAAATAGACATAATATTTTATGTATTCAAGATTTAAAAATTTGGGAAATAGCCTCTAGCTAGGTTCTTTTAGTATGATAAAATTTTCTAATTCAGAGCCTAAAAATAGCAATTTTGAATTCACATTTTTAGACATTTCTGACCACTGTGATGGGATTTGTTTAACAACATCATTTAATAGATAAGTATTTCTTAACATTTTATAGAGTTTAAAAAAAAAGAAAGAAACACTGGAATTTGCACTCAAATGGAAAGCACATAAATTATGGATTATCATTTTGTGGCTCTAAAAATAAAAATAAAGAAGTTAAAGTACTTGCTCTGATCAAACAAAAAAGTGAAACAAAGTTCAATGCTACATAGGCTCTGCTTGATGAATATAAGTTGTTGATAAATATAAGTTGCTTGATAAATTTAAGTTGTTTGTGCTTGATGCATATAAGCTATGAGCTGTAATTAGGATAATAATTTCTGATACAACTGTAACAAATCAAATCTCTATATATTAGATGCCAGCATCATGTCCTTAATCAGCCCTCAGAAGTAGGAAAAATAAGATCGACAATAATTTGCTGACCTAAATCTTTTAGAGGTTGGCATTAGGTTGGTTAAAAAAATTAGATACGAAGGTTTTACCATTAAACATAAAAATGAGATCGGGATTTTTTTATTGACCTCAAACACTTTTAGGTCAGCAGTTATGTCGACATTGCCGAATTAGGACCCTAATTCTGAGGGTTGTTAATTCAATACTAAACCATGTCATAAATGAATATTTTGATGGGGCAACTAGCTCACCTAATTTCAGTTATTGGCTTGTTAATAAAGTAACATTTATAGTATGAGCAACATTTAAGTTCTCTCTCTAGAAGTGATACAAAGGAAGTAAAAAATGTTTGCTGGAGATATTTTTATTCATCACTTGATTACTTGTTATAGACAATATAGGAATACAATACACTTATCTAAAGAAGATTTTAAAACTGTCAACGCTTTGCTTCACTCTTTTATTTTCACAATTTCATTACTTAGCCTTAATTAATTTGGACTAACAAGTTTTTCTTAAAACCACCAGGTTATATAGGTCTTTTATTAAAACCTTTAAGTAAAAAGTGTCATATGCTTTAATGTTCTTTTTTTTGTAAAGATTCTGGTAATTGTTAAATTAAGTTACATTTTTTTTTTTTTTTAAATATAAAGTTAAAAAAACTTGTCAATTGAACTTAATGAAAATAAATTCCCCTGTCTTGGGGCTCTTGATTGGGTAAAAACTAGAGATGGTGTCTTGATAAAAATGCTCATCTTGGGCAGATGTTAACTAAATCTAGCTACTGTCTTGTAGAAGGCCTCCTAGGCAAAGTGGTGAATTGATGCTCCTTATGCATCAATTAAAAAATAGGGGAATTGATGCTCCTTATGCATCAATTAACCTATTTGTCAAGAAATCAGGTTTGAATCTTTTGACCATTCTTTTATGTTATTCTGCTTAGCAACTCTTCACTCTATCATTTTTCTCTTTGTTCTAATTTTCAAGATTGCACTTATTTAAATAAAATTTTTAATCAAATTGACTATAACCTTTCTTTTTACCCTTCTGCCAATATTGTTGTTATTGGTGACTTTCATGCTCATTGCATTCAATGGCTTAATTCTAACACCACTGACCCTGTTAGCACTAACTCATAACTTCTGTATTTCTCAATCTCTTACACAGCTAGTTAACTTTGTGACTTGTTTTCCAGACAAACCTAATCACCTACATTCACTCCTTGATTTGTATCTTGTCTCTGACCCTAACTTGTATCTCCTCCTTGTTCTCCTTTAGGTGGTTCTATGGAGACTATGCAATGATCTTTACAAATTATTTAATTTGTACTTTTTATTTGGACTCACTATAATTGCACTACTTACTACTAACCTAAAGCTGGTGTCTTTTGTCTTTCTGCTGATAAATGCACCTCTTATGTAACCTCATGAATCCAGGCAGGAATAGCTTTTATTCCTTCTTCTTATTTCCAATTTAAGTCAATTTACTCCATGGTTTTGACCTTCTTGTAAAGCTGCTATATTTAATTGTAATCATTTTTAAAAAACTTCTTCAAAAGAATCTTTAGACTTAACGCCTATTTATTTTTGCAAAAAAATTGATGTAAAAATTGTCTTATGCTAAGCTCCATTATTTTCATTAAGTAAATCTCGTATCTCGTATCTTGTATCTTGTCTCAGAAGTTAGGCTCAGAGACTTTTGAAAAATCTTTAACATATATATATATATATATATATATATATATATATATATATATATATATAATATATATATATATATATATATATATATATATTATATATATATATATATATATATATATATATAAATCTTTTAAAGTCATTTTCTTGTTATATGTTAAAATATAGTTAATATAATAAATACGGCTGCGTATAAACTTTTTTTAAATATGTATATATTTTTTCTTTAATATATAATTATTTCGATATTTCACTGATCTATTGTGATCAGCGTCATCAGGTATAATAAATAAAATAGATACAAAAAAATAAAATTTTTTACTATAACGATTTTTTTGTAACTATTTTATTTATTATACCTGAAGACGCTGATCACAATAGATCTGCGAAATATCAAAACAATTATATATTAAAAAACAAGTATATGTATTTAAAACAAGTTTATATGCAGCAGTATTTATTGAATTCTAAACATATATATATATATATATATATATATATATATATATATATATATATATATATATATATATATATATATATATATATATATATATATATATATATATATATATATATATATATATATATATATATATATATATATATATATATATATATATATATATATGCTCTGCTTTCAG